ACCACCAGCTTCTCCCCCTCCTCTTTTTCCACCAGCTTCTCCCTTCTCCCCCTCCTCCTCCACCAGCTCCCTTCTCCCCTTCCTCCTTCTCCACCAGCTTCTCCCCCTCCTCCTTTTCCACCAGCTTCTCCCTTCTCCCCCTCCTCCTCCACCAGCTCCCTTCTCCCCTTCCTCCTTCTCTACCAGCTTCTCCCCCTCCTCCTTCTCCACCAGCTTCTTTCCCTCCTCCACCACCTTCTCCCTTCTCCCCTTCCTCCTCCCCAAACTTCTCCCTTCTCCACCAGCTTCTCCCTTCTCCTCTTCCTCCTTCTCCACCAGCTTCTTCCCCTCCTCTTTCTCCACCAGCTTCTCCCTTCTCCCCCTCCTCCTCCACCAGCTCCCTTCTTCCCTTCCTCCTTCTCTACCAGCTTCTCCCCCTCCTCCTTCTTCACCAGCTTCTCCCCTCCTCCTTCTCCATCAGCTTCTCCCGTCTCCCCTTCCTCATTCTTCACTAGCTTCTCCCTACTCCACCTACTAGTACTACTCTAAACTTCCTCTTCCCTCCCCCTCCCTTCCCCCTCCCCTTCCCTACACTGCTCCTTCGCAGCTTCGCTACCCTGTACCAGAACTACGAGAGTGCTGACGATGTTCCACTGATACGCCCGAAACGCCGATAGACCGCGTAGCGCCATCTGGCGGTGGCCTTTGCAAGTTAATTTACGACGCTAAACCTGATGTTTACCGCCTCTATAGTCCTATACATTCAGTGCCAATGGTTATCGGGCGTGGTAGATAGCTCGTATGGCTCATAGGGTTTATGTCCCCTAGGGTACTGCCGGAACGTACCCTGGTAACTATTTGATATGGTTACAGGGTTCTCCAAGCTTTTTCATTATAGCATGGCGGGTGCTGCCTTTACCGTCCTAGTTGCAAATCGCCGAAGGCATATCCGGGTGCTATGATATTTAGAGTGGCGGGTGCATTTTAGGATGGCGGGGCTCGACGATAGCCTGGCGGGACGCAAAATTTTTTTTTCCCACTCGAGTTCCGGACCACAGCCAATCAGCGCACTCCATTTACTCGACTTCCTCGAAGCAACAATGTAAAATAAATACCACCTATCCCTAACCCTAACCCTAACCCCTAACCCTAACCCTAACCCTAACACGTAACCGAACCCTAACACTAACTATAATCCAACCATATATATAAGAACCATTTATTACAAAACACTATCTATGGTGGGTCCGGAACTCAAGTGGGAAAAAAAATTCAGCTGGCGGGACGCCGCAATACATAAATTATGACACCTAGGGCCTACCCTATAACCTTCAGAGATAGAAATCTAATGAGAATACGTTATCGTATAATGCATCACGTTATCAAATCGGAAAATACCAGGCAGACTGTGTGTGACTGTATAATATATCAGCCTGACATGACAGAAATCCCATTGGCTATTTCACGTGCTCAGGTTCTATAGCGTATAATGCAGATCTATTGAAAAAATTGTGTTGTGAGAGAATCAATCAATACGTGAGGAGAGCCTTTCTGCTCTCTTCATGATCCACACGTGCTATGACACATATCATGTATATCTAGAAGAGGCTGTCAACATCTTTGTCACTCTCCATTTAAAGAAACTGGAACTAAGCACCATAATGTGACATGCCGTAAAAGCTACTGTCAGTTCCAGAGATTTATGCTTTACTTAATATGAGGGTGACACAGACGTTTAAACATGTTTGTGTGTTTACCAATGCGCTGATTATGCATGCTTTGATTTATTTAATTTTGTGTGCTTGTTTGTTCGTTATTGTACACTGTTCATTCCAAAGTAAAATATTCTGAAAGAGTTTGCTCTAAAGGTCTACCTTCTGACAAAAAAGACCCACCCTTCTTGGAATGCTTGCCTGTTTTGGGTAATTTTCTCTATTCTAAGTTGGCTGCTTGAATTCAAAATCTTACATTGCTTAAAGCACACATTTACCAACTCACAGTCACAGGTCCTGTCACACGCACTCATTTTCCGCAAGAAAGACTGATCTCGCATTTTTCTCCAAGTCAATGTGCAGTGCCATAACTAACTAATAGTGCCTTGGGGGTGGCAAAGCCATGCGTGGACTTCTGCTTGTATTCTGGACAGTTGACCGTGGGCAGGTCACCATCGGCTATGTAGTAATTTCTACATTTGTTTGAGGGGATGGGAAGATTACGGCCCTTATGTGATATAATATATGAATTGTAATCTGTGTTTGTTGCGTGCATGTAAGAATATTGAACATTCTCCTTGTGTCGCCGTATCACGTTCTCTGGTTGATAGCGAAATGAAACCCTTTACTACTACAATCCCCAGTGTTGGTCTGAAGAAACATGTACCGTGCGCAAAACCTAATTCTCAACCAAAAATCTATAGTTAAAAAATACATGGTCGTTATACAACAACACAAGGCGAATGTTCACTATTCTCACATTCACACAATCAGCCAACGATGGAGTACTATTGTTCCGTGGTTCGTTTGACCTTTACAGCTTTCGAACGAAACAAGCGGCAGAGCTGTCGATCGAGTTATAAGTACGCGCTGTTGGAGCCGGAGAGAGAGGATGAGATAGAAATAGCGCGGCTTGAGCAGCTGATTGAAGCTCGAAAATAGATTATAACACAAACGCACTCACGCACGTACGCACGCACACACGCACGCACAGACGCATGCATAGGGTGTCCGTGGGCGTATACAACACACTGCGGCCACACGCACAGATGTATGCATAGGGTGTCTACTGGTGTATACAACACACTGCGGTCACTCACACGCACACACGCATGCATATGGTGTCTACTGGTGTATACAACACACTGCGGTCACTCACACATGTGTGTGTGTGTGTGTGTGTGTGTGTGCGTGCGTGCGTGCGTGATGCTATATATCATAGGTATTATTAGCTCTTGATATATATATATATCAGAAGTAGATAATAGGGTTAGGGTAATTCTGATACATGTGTGTGTGCGTGCGTGCGTGCGTGCGTGCGTGCGCGCGCACTGCACGTTGATGTTTGACTGCCCACGATCGCACACACTGCTGCATATAAATTGTGTTAATTTAGGTAACAATTCATTATAATCAGTGAATAATAAATTAATTGATTAAATTAATTAGGCAGACATATATTATAGGCGCATATCTATAGCAGGTTAATTTCAGGTTTAACATCGAATTTCATGAATTAGAGTTCATGAATTAATGAATAATTAATTACCTTATTGAATTAATTAGTAAGATTAACCGCTTTACGTGCACGCGCGCTCACCGTTTCTCGTAAATGCTTTTCTTTCTTCGGTACGTTGTCATGCGGCGTCAGGTCGCCCACAAGTGCCTCGGCCATGTCGTGAACAAGTGACAGCTTGATGCATCTGTCGTAGAATGACACAATATATAATTAAGACAGAGCTGGTGGTATAGTGGTTCTACATAATACTAATAGCTCGCCATCATAATAAACAATATTATATAATATTAAAAGTGGAATACATAAATCATATATACAATGCGACATTATAACAATACATACAATGTAATACACGTAAGTCATACAATAGCTCGCATACTAGCTCTCATACAATACTACACACATTACAGTGAATCAAATATAATAGGTTACAATACAATATGATACATTTCTTGATTATACTTATAAACAGCCCAGTTACACGTTGGCAGCTCCACCAAACACAGGAGATAACCTAACAAATTATGCGAGCCGCTGCGTTAAACCGAGCGCAAGCGGCATCGGGTGAGGGGTTCCCAGATGTGCCAGACTGTGTTATAATACGATACTATAATAATAATGTATGATATCATCGGCAGTGAATAATAATCCGATAGTCAACTTTTGCCTCGAGCTCGTGTGCTGCACGTAGAGTATAGGGTTAGGGTTAGGGTAACCCACCAGCTTCTCCCCTCCTCCTTCTCCACCACCTTCTCCCTTCTCCCCTTCCTCCTTCTCCACCACCTTCTTTCCCTCCTCCACCCCCTTCTCCCTTCTCCCCTTCCTCCTT